ACATGGGTGGCCTTGAAAGATACTGGCAAGGAAAATTTTACCATTGGGAGAGGAACTTGAGGTATCGTGCTTGGTCATCTACTTCGTGTGGAAGAAGTACTCCAAGAGTGAAATAATCATACTCCTGGGTAGGGGCAAATGGCCTAGTCAGGGGCCTAGAAAAAGAAATGTTAGAAGATCGTTTTATCAGTCAGGTTCCAAAGAAACAGAACCAATAGGAGATATGTATTTCTCTATATATTTATCACAATACATTGGCTCAAGTGGTTTTGGGGTTTGGTTAGGCAAGTCTGAAATCTGTAGAGCTGGCTATCAGGAGGGCAGGCTGGAACTATCAGGCACCAGTTGAAGTTGCTAGCCCCAGGTGGAATTCCTTCTTCACGAATCTTCTTAAGGACTTTGAGTTAACTGAATCAGGCCCACCCAGATTATCTAGGATAATCTCCCTACTTAACGTTGGCTGATTATAGATTTTAATCACATCTACAAGGTAATTTCACAGCAACACCTAGATTAGTGTTTGATTGAATAACTGGGACTGCAGTAGAGCCAAGTTGGCACAAAACTGACCATCACAGAGACAAGAAAGTATGGAATAAACACGTTGATGGACATATGAGTGGGCATGAAGTGTGAAGATCTTTGTAACACACATTAATGCCTATTTACCATAGAAGGGTCATTAAACATCCAAATAGGCAAAATGACATGTTATTAGACAGCCATGTCACTTGCCACTCCAGTGCAGGCATATTAGCACATGAATTGGCCACAGATGCAGAGATGGAGAGTATGCATGGCCTCAATATCATGGATTCCCACTTACCAAAGGTAATCTCGCTACTGCCACCGCTGAATGCCCAATCTCCTGCAAGAGACAAAAGCTGAGCCTTCAGAAGGCACCAGTTTTGAGAAGACCCATTGGCCACGTGGTGCCATGTTAACCATAATGGACCTCTTCCATCTTGCAAGAGTCAGCAGTTTTTTCCCATAGGAACAGACACCTACCTTTGGATATGGGTCTGCCTTTTCTGCCCACAAGACCCCAGCCAGCACTACCATCTGTGTGCTTACAGAATGCCTGATATAAAGGTACAGCATCTCACATAACATAGCATCTTACCAGAAAATTCACTTTACAGCAAAAAAGGTATGGGAGTAGGTCTGTAACAATGGGTTGAACTGGTCATATCACATACCACACCATCTAGAAGTGTCCCAGCTGAGTAGGCACTAGAATGGCCTTCTGAAAGTACAGCCAATGTGAAGGCGCAAAGGCAATATTCTGCGAGGATGAAGTACAGTGAATCCCTGATTTGAGATATTTGAGTTATGATGAACCGCTTACGACCGATTTTTTTTTTACATCTTATCACTAGTAATATGTACTACATACAGTGTTGCAGCGGGTAATTTTCTTATGTTATCATTCTCAGATGTTCACTCGAAGATGTTCCATGTATCTGGAACATTGCCATCTTCCTGGAAGTTATGGGAAAATGCATGCAGGGGACGTGGGAAAGAATTGCTGAGTTATGTGAACATGCTCCAACCATTTGATCAGGATAATATAGTGGAAGATCAGTGAAAAAATCGTCCATATGGCAAGAACGCTGAATTTAGAACTTGATATTGCCGTTGTGGAACAGCTCATAGATCATGAAGAAGGGGGATTAACAGATCGGGACTTAATGGATTTTGAAGAGGAAAGAAATGCTGAGAAAAGAAATAATGAGGAAGAAGGAGACAAGTAATCAAAAGAAATTTACAATTAAAGGATTAGCTGGAGTTTTTAGATCAGTGGCTTCAGTTGCTTCAAAACATGGACCCAAACGCTGATCACTTTGCTGAAGTCGATAGGCGGATTCAGGAAGCAGTGAGATGTTACCACGAAATATATGAAGAAAAAGGGGCCAGATAGGCATCTAATTTTCTGACTAAAAATGCCATCCCCATTCCCAGGGATAATCCAGATGATCCAGAACCTTCCACAAGTGGAGTTATTACCACAACTGACAAAATGCCAATGTCATCCAACTCTTCAGTCAGAGTAAATTATGATTTTTTAACATATGTATGAAAATAAATCTGTAAGTTTATACATAATGCTTCCAACCCCCAAAGACAAATAAAGAACTTATACTTATTTAAAAAGGCAATAATAATGAAAACTAAAAAAAATATTCAACTTACATTAGAACTGACTTACGACGGAGTTGGGGACTACCTGTACCATCCTCAAGGATGCAGTACACACATACAGAGACCTTTATGTGACACTGTGTTCCAAACAGGAAGAATGCCCCTGAGAACCAAGGGGTAGACATAGGATTGGCCCCATTTACCATCATTCCTAATGATCACACGTGCACTGATGTGTGTGCACTGGCTGGTGGTCTGTTGGAGAAAGCCCCACCAAACACAAAGCCTGTATTACATCTTCCCATCCCATAGGTGTGCTCTCCAACCCCATCCCCCAGACATGAAGCCTGAAACTTCTGTGAGGGTCCTGTCAGCTGGATGGGGGTTATAAACATGGGCCAAGTACAGTGTGTCCTTTGTGTCGTGAGTTGATTTGGGGAACAATTAACTATGAGACAAGGTGGGCAAGGACAGTGTGTGTGTACAGGCTACTGGAATATAAACCAGGTCAGTCTAAAGTTCCTTTTTTTTTGGGGGGGTGGGATAAACCAAGAGGTTCTGCTGATAATGGAGCTGGAGAACATATCTAGGATTACTTTTTAAAAAATTTACACAGTATAAAACTCAAAAAAATTGTTTGGTTTTATGAATTTTTACACATGCATAGATTTTTGTATCCACAAACAGGATACAGAACAATTCCAACACTTGAAAGAATTCCTTTGTAATGAGACCTCCCCCTATCTCTAACCCCTGGCAACCACTGATCTGTTCCATCCTTATATTTTTCTTTTCCAGAATGTCATAATGACAGTGCATACAGTATGTAATTTTTTGAGACTAGGTTTTTTCCATTAGCAAAATGTATTTCAAGTTCATTCATGTTGTCGCATGTATCAATAGCTCATTATTTTTATTGGCGAGTAGTATTCCAGTGTGTGGATGTACCATAATATATCTATATACCCACTGAAGAACATTTGGGTTGTTTCCATTTTGGGGTGATTATAATGACTTATAAACAATCACGCATAGGTTTTTGTGTGAATATAAGTTTTCATTTCTCTAGGATAAATACCCATAAGTAATATTGCTGGGTCATATGGTAAGTATATGTTTAACTTTTTAAAGAGCATCAAATTGTTTTCCAGAGAGGCTGTAACAGTTTGCATTTCCATTAGCAACGTATGAGAGTTCCAGTCACTCTCATCCTTGCTAGCACTTGGTATTTCCATATACCTAAGGTTTTGAAAAGCCCAAGATTATGAACTGATGAATATCTCAAATGGGAAAACATCCCAGATGGAGACCACAGTTGAGGCCTATGGCTTTTGCTGTTATGTTAGTTGTGAGGCAAGGCATGGCAAGCCCGGCTTTATCGGTGGATCAGAAATTGAGTGGAGATGCATTACCTGGCAAGAAAGTTTGAGATGCACTGTCACAATCTGATACTGGGGAGACAGGGCATAAGGACACTTGCTTGTTCACATACACACATTATTAGAAAATACACTGGAGATGTAAAAACCTTGTTTTGTAGGAGCTGATTTAGTTGGACTGGAAAAAGCTATAACATTATCTCTGTGATGCCTGAATATATGGCTTCTACTCTTGGTTGAGATAAGGGCAGTGGGATATATGAAGTGCTGTTTGCACCTTGGACTGACGTCCAAGATGGCTCATTCACATGGCTGGCAGTTGATGCTGGCTAAATGACTGAGCTCAGCTGGGGATACTGACCAGGGTGCCTACACATGGACTGTTTAGCATTACAGTCTCAGTATGACTGGACTTTTCATGGCAGCTAGCTTTCCTCAAGCGTCATCTGTTCTTCTTAATCTTCCTTTAGTATGAATTTCTTGATGTTGTATAAGGAACGAACTATGGCTATAGACTTTTCCATATTCATTATTTTTATATGACCAGTAAGATGCAAGCCATTGTTAAAGGATATGCCCTCTCATTTATACTCACAGGGTTTTTCTCTAGAATTCTCTGATGTTGAGCAAGGGAGAGGCTGGTTATCTCCCCTTCTCTAGCATGACTTTATTTCAAACAAGGCATTAATTGTGACTAAAGTCAATCCCAAATTTATTACATTTGTCTGGTATTATATAAGGTTTGAGCTGTGACTGAAAAAAGCCTTTCTACATGTATTATATCTCTATTCTCTGGTTTGAACCACCACCATATTGGTAATGTTCATAGTTGTTTTCCATTCAGAGAGAATTATGCTGTGAAAGTTCTGAGTTTGGCAGTATATCAAAACTGATGGAACATACATATGCCCTAAATCCAAAAACCCAAACCCATTGCCATCTAGTCGTTTCTGACTCACAGCGACCCTACAGGACAGAACTGCCCCAAAGTGTTTCCAAGGAGTGGCTGGTAGATTTGAACTCCCAACCTTCTTAACCACGGCACCACTAGGGCTCCACATATGCCTAGGACCCAGCAATTCCACTATTGGGTATATACACACAAGAAATGCATATATATGTATGCCCAAAGACAAATATGTTCACAGAAGCAGTATTTATTATGATCCTAAGGCGTAAACAATGAAAAACTTCATCAACAATAGAATCGATAAATTGTGATATAATCATACAATGGAATTCTATACAGAATGAACATAAATGAACTTCTGCCATATGCAATAAGTCTTAGAGAAGTAATGATGAACGGAACATCCACGTATGAAAAAATATATAATGATGTTGTTGTTAGGTGCCACTGAGTCCATTCTGACTCACAGCAACCCTATGTGACAGAGTAGAACTTCCCCATAGGGTTTCCTAGGCTGTCCACCTTTATAGAAGATTGCCAGGTCTTTCTCCCATGGAGTGGCTGGGTGGGTTTGAATCAGCAAACTTCTGGTTAGCAGCCAAGCACTTAACCATTGCACCACGAGGGCTCCTTATACATAATGTATTTTCTAATTTATATAGTTTTATAATATGTGAAAACTAATTTATAATGTTAGAAGTCAGAACTGTGCTTAACTTTGAGGAGGTAACAACTAATTTTTGTTCCATACTGAAATGAGAAATACAGTTCACACTTCATGGAGCCAACTGTTTATTACTGGTTCACAAGAATACATGTATTGAAATAAGCAATTTTAAATGTTTATAGAAATTTGAAAAAAACCAAAAACAGAACCCGGTGCCGCTGAGTTGATTCTGACTCATAGTGACCCTATAGGACAGAGTAGAACTGCCCCATAGGGTTTCCAAGGAGCGGCTGGTAGATTCAAATTGCTGACCTTTTGGTTAGCAGCTGAGTTCCTAACCACTGCACTACCAGGGCTCCTAGCAATTTGACAGAGGAAGTTTATATCTGCCTCACCTAATAATAAAAAATCTGGCTTGTCACTTTCAATTTTCAATGACTTTTGTCAATTAATTTGTCTAGTAACTCATTTTTTATGTTATATAAGCTAGCAAACGGTAGGTAAATATGTGATATAGTACCTTAAACTGCACAGTATTGTTATAGCGTATAGGGTTTACTATGACTTAAAAAGTTTTTACCAAAAAAGTCACATCATTTACTAAACTCCAACAGTTTCTCCTTGTGAGTTTTCTGATGGACAATGAGGTTTGACTTACAACTGAAGAACTTCCCACATTCTTTACATTCATATGGTTTCTCACCTGTGTGAGTTTTCTGATGGCGAATGAGGTTTGACTTCCTACTAAAGGCTTTTCCACACTGAGGACATCCATTGGATTTCTCTCCTGTATGTATTCGCTGATGAACAGTGAGGATTGCCTTCTGACGGAAGGACTTCCCACATTCATTACAAATATAGGGTTTTTCCCCAGTATGAATTCTCTGATGGAGAGTGAGGGTTGTCTTTTGGCAGAAGGATTTCCCACATTCAGTACAAATATAGGGTTTCTCTCCTGTGTGAGTTCTCTGATGTACAGTGAGGGTTGTCTTCTGGATAAATGCCTTCCCGCATTCATTACATTGATATGGTTTCTCTCCTGTGTGAGTTCTCTGGTGATCAATAAGGTATGACTTCTTTCTAAAGGCACTCCCACATTGAGTACATGCGTAGGCTTTCTCCCCTGTATGTATTTTGTGATGTCTAGTGAGGGTGGCCTTCTGGCGGAAGGACTTCCCACAATCAATACAAATATAGGGTTTCCCCTCTATATGTGTTTTCTCATGAAGTGTGAGGGCTGTCTTCTGACGGAAGGCCTTCCCACATTGACTACAAACATAAGGCTTCTCACCCGTGTGAATTCGCTGATGTTCAATGAGATATGACTTCCTCCTAAAGCCATTCCCACAGTAAGGACACTGAAAGGGTCTCTCCTCTGTTTGCGATCTCTCATGCATTATAAAAACAGACTTCCTGCAGAAGAATTTCCCATATTTACTGTATGCATAGGGCTTCTTTTCCATAAGAGCTTGTGGATGGACATCAATATTTGACTTCCGGATGTAGGCTATTCCATCTTTATTGTATTCCAACGGTATTCCACCTCTGTGAACTCTAGTGTGTGTAAATAACGTTCCTTTCATAAGAAAGGATTTTTCACATTCATTATGTTCAAATAGTTTTTCTGGAGTCTGGACCTTTTGATGTTGAATAAGCTCCTGTTTACAACTGAGACTCCTCTCTGTTTGTTTATGGAGATTCACTGCAGGATGAATTTTCTCATGCTTAGTATTGAGAAGTGATTTCTCCCATCCATTAGTCTCACCAAACTTCTCTCTTATAGGGTTTATATTTCTAATGACTAATTCCGAAATATTTTTCAAAACTTTTCCATCAGTTTTATATTCACACAGTGTTGTTTTTGAAGTAATACGGTTCTTGCCTAGAGTGAATGTTTTCCCATAAACATTACTTCTTTCCTTAATTAGTTTTCTGTGATTGATGAATACACCTGATCTGGAATGCTTGTCTTGGTATTCTCTGAATTTCACTAAAACATCTCCAGCTTTCCCATCTTCTTCTAGAAAAGAATACAGTTAACAACGTTCATATATTTGCTGTGGACTGGATTTAGATAGAAACAACCTACATGGGACTATCTGTCTAGTTGTTGTGGTTTACAAAAAGACCAAAATAAATGATCTCTCGGTAGGAAAAAGGACAAAACATAAACATAAACCCTGTTAATATGCAGAGAAACTGGCACATGTAAAAACACACGTCTTTAACATGTTGCAAGTATAAGCTACACTGAGGTGTAATAAAGACAAAGGATGGTGAAAGAGGGATTTGTTCCTGAGATGGGAAGATTCATATAATACTAAACAATAAGCAATATGACAAGGAAAATCATTCAGAAGGCGATGACAGCCTATACATTTACCTCCTAATGTCTAAATGTCATAAAATGCTTTTATTTGTTTCTCACTTCCATTTAGCCCATCCATGGCACATAAACTTTCTGAAAAGCTCATTGCCTAGTATTTAGAGAAACACTGGTCAATAGTCTAGGCCTCAACTCTCCATATAGCTGTGATTTATTTTTTCTTGAGAGGGGAGAATTAGGAAAACATACTCCCATTAGAAATATAAAATAAACCAGAAAGCAAAGCATACTCACAACACAAGTAATAATAACTGTATATCCTGATTGTTACTACCATCAATTCGAGTATGTTGCCTTCCTGAGAACCTCAGACACCTTCAGGGACACGCTACAATCCAATTTTTCCAAAAGCCTTCACATATTCTTTATGCTGTTCAATGCCTTAATTTGTCTGAAATCGGAATATAATTATGGCCTGGACCATTTATTTCAGTAAATCTTCCAACAACCTGGTATTTTTACATAAATATGTAAAATGATCAATTTTTATAATATTGATTTCCAAATTAAAACTTATGCTCTTTGAATCCTTCTGATTATACATTAATGCACTGTTATCTGAGGTGAGGGGATGTGATCTCAGCAGCTACATCTAAAGAGAACTCACCAGTAAATGATTTCTGAACAGATGAAAAAGATGTATTCCCTGCATGGTATCACAGAGGTTAACTACTAAGTTACGTAGCCTCTGTTACAAACTACAGTATGGAATGGTAAAAGAGAGGACCTTATTTTTGGGGAATTATCCAGATGGGGAAAGAAGCCTCAGATAAAACAATGCTGAACCAGATATCAAATTATGAGATTATATGAGGATATGTTTGTTCATGTGTGATAGACACAAGGTAGAATGGGAATGTAGAAAAACGGGATAGATAATGGTCTGGAGTAGTCAAGAACATTTCATGGAGGAAGTGGAACTTGATCTTTTAATTAAAGGATATGTAGTATCTATGATGGACATATAGTAGCTGTAATATAATGAAAGTTGCAGCATAAGAATAAAACCAATTCTATGGTGGATTGTAGGAAACGAGAACACAACAGAAATTAGCAAGTTCTCTGTCACAGAAATACATGTGAAATGACCAGATGGGGTATTATTCTATCAGCTCTTGAAAAAGAAAGGATTTAAAATTCATATACTAATAATATCTTTTTATGATATTGATAATATAAACTGGGAGAATGTTATGGCAAATCCAAATAGTAATCACAGCACTCCACACATGAAATAACTTGGCTCTCATTTTGGAAGATGTCAATGGCAATGAGATGATGAGAATGTAAAAACATTTCACAGAGCAAAAAAAATAACACAAATTGTAGAGAGATCATTAAGAAAGTACAACAGAGATTATAAAATGACTCTGATACTATAAAGGCTGATTATGGGAAAAAAAGGATAAAGAAATAAATAAGGATATGATTAACGACATTATTTCTCACACTACTGATAACCAAAAGGGTGGAACAGCCTAATGTTGTTTTCCTGTAGGCAGATTAAAATAAATCACTGCAGCACAAGTGGGAGAAACAGGCTGAAAATATCCATCTGAAAGCCATTCACATAAAACAAATCACAACTGAAAAATGGACTGGATTATAGTAGCTTGCAAGACTTTTTTAAAGAACTGAAGAAAGTTCCTTTAGGGACACATCAGAAAGACACCAATGAGAACCTAATGAAACAAAATTCATTTATTCAACCAATATTTATTGCTTGACAAAGGGAAGATAACACAAGTAAGGTGTGAAAAAGCACTCAGGGAAAAAGGATGAGAATGAGTGAGTGTTTTCCACTCACATCCAGGTGGGTAGATATCAGTAATGATGATCAGTACTATGATTGATATGAAGCAAAAGGTTACTGGAAAAAAAATGGTGATTCTGAAATTATCAGTTTGGCCTAAGGCATATGGATTTTGAAATCTGAGTGCAGGTCTTCCGATGAGAATGGGGCATAAGACTGAGTGCAGAAAAGAAGTAACAGAGAATGGAAGAAAAGAAAATGAAACTAAGAGGAAGATAAATATTAGACAAGCATTTCCTTTTTATTTTTGGGATAGATTTTAAAATGCCTAAATACAGGAGTCTAAGTAAGATATAGAAATGAAAATGCTAAAAAAAAGAGGAGAAAAATAAGAAAGGCCTAAACAAGCCATTCCCAAGGTGTGATTCATGGACCCTGTGGTATCCAAGACGCTTATGGGGAGGTCTTCAAGGTCAAAACTACTTTCATGAATAATAACAACACTTCATGTGTCTTTTGCTGTGTTGATATTTGCATTAATGGGGCAAAAGCAATGACAGGTAAAATGCTGGCACCTTAGCCAACTGTAAAGCACTGGCACCAATCTATGATAGTAATCACTATATTTTTAAGCCTCAAACACTCACAAAAAAGAAAGTTTCACTTTAGAATGTTCTTAACAAAGCAGAAAAAAATCACTAATTTTATTAAATCTTCCAACTGAGTACACATTTTTTAAATATTCTGTGTGAATTAAGACGTATGCATAAAGTACTTCTGATACATACTAGAGTATAATGTGTTTCATGAGTTAAAGTACTTGTGTAATTATTTGAGTTGAGAACTGAATATCCACTTTTTTGGGAACAGCATTTTTACTTGAAAGTATGATTGACTAGTTATTTAGACTTGAGTATGTGGCAGACATTTTCTTGAAAACAAACACAGGGAGCCTCCTGCTTCAAGGAAAACATCTGCCAATATTTGTTGCTAATGATAAAAATTCAAGCTTTCAAGTGAAGATCATTATGTTGGAAAGCCTGTATTTGCCACTGTGAGCTTGTTAGCTTCCCAATACTTAAAGACTTTCTGAGGTGATCATTGATGATATTAACAAATGTGGTGTTTGTTTATTTATTTTTTAAAATACTGTATAGGGAAATGTGTCCACATTTAGAAGATTTACATAAGTCAGTGAACCAATACTTTCCAAATGACCAATAAACCAAAAAACCCAATTTGTTGCTGTTGAGTCGATTCCAACTCAGCAACCTTACCGGAAAGGGTAGAACTGCCACATAGGAAATGACCAATACACATTACCAAAAAATGAATGGATAAAACATCCATTCAAAATGCAAGATATACTAATGGATTTTTATGTAACAACATACAAAAGTTCACTGTTACGGATTCTATATTGCAACTAAGTGTTAAAAAAATTATCACTTTAAGTTTGGTTGTAGTATCAAAGAATATCCATGATAATCCAGAAAGGTTATTAAAGTACTTATATCTTTTCAAACTACATACTGTATTTTTACACACGTAACATGCACCTTCTACGTTTGTTTGCCAACCACGCCCACCGTCCACGATGTATTCTTTTTTTTTAATTGTTGTAGTTTAAGTGAAAGTTTACATTTCAAGTTAGTTTCTCATACAAAAATTTATACATACATTGTTATGTGACCCTAATTGCTCTCCCTATACTGTGACAGTACACTCCTCCTTTCCACCCGATTTCCCATGTCCCTTCAACAAGCTCCTAACCCTCTCTGCCTTCTCATCTCTACTCTGGACAGAAGCTGCCCGTTTAGTCTCATGTATCAACTTGAGCTAAGAAGCACACACTTCACAAGTATCATTTTAGGTCCCACAGTCCAGTCCAATCTTTGTCTAAAGAGTTGGCCTCGGGAATTGTTTTAGTCTGGGTTGACAGAGAGTCCAGGGGCCATGCTTTCGGGGTCCCTCCAGTCTCAGTCAGACCCTTAAGTCTGGTCTTTTTACTAGAATTTGAGTTCTGTACCCCACCTTTTTCCTGCTCTATCAGGGACTCTCTGTTGTGTTCCCTGTCAGGGCGGTTATTGGTGGTAGCCAGGTACCATCTAGTTCTTCTGGTCTCAAGATGATGAAGTCTCTGGTTTATGTGGCCCTTTCTGTCTCTTGGGCTAATACTTTCCTTGTGTCTTTGGTGTTCTTCCTGCTCCTTTACTCCAGGTGGTTGGCACCAACTGATGCATCTTAGATGGCCACTTGCTAGCTTTTAAGACCCCAGACACTACTCACCAAAGAAGAATGCAGAACATTTTAATAAACTTTGTTATGCCAATTGACCTAGATGTCCCCTGAAAACATGGTCCCCAGACCCCTACCTCCGCTACTCTGTCCCTCAAAGTGTTTGGCTGTATTCAGGAAACTTCTTAGCTTTGGTTTAGTCCAGTTGTGCTGACTTCCCCTGTAGTGTGTGCTCTCCTTCCCTTCACCTAAGATAATTCTTGTCTATCTAGTTAATGAATAACCCTCACCCTCCCTCCTCACCCTTGTAACTATCAAAGAATGTTTTCTTCTGTGTTTAAACCTTTTCTTGAGTTCTTATAATAGTGGTCTTATACAATATTTGTCCTTCTGTGACTAAATTCACTCAGCATAATGCCCTCCATCTACGACGTATTTTTATAAGCCACTATGCTAAATTGTTTTTACAGCAACAGTGTAAAAAAAATTGGCATAGTGGTGCTTATGAAAATACCTCGTGGGGGGAGCATGCTTGGCAAACAAACGTAGAAGGCGCACATTATGTGCGTAAAAATACAGTCTATGTGTGAGGGTAAATTTTCTTCATATACTTCAATTAGAACAACATATTGCAACAGATGTG